AACTATTGGTAATTCTTTCTCAATGTAGCTCTCTGAAATGCATATAGTTATTATGCATTCCTATTTAGAGATGAGGAATCTAAGGTACAAAGAAGTAAAATTGTCACCATATAAATGAGGAACCATGAATCAGCACATTGTCCAAATTTGCAGCTTCATAGTCATCTGTCTTCAGGCATATGAGTGGTTCCCCTTCCTGGCTATTGTCAATAATGCTGATGTGAACATAAAGGAGCTTATGAATATTTTCATATTAGAGTTTTCATGTCATTTGGGTAATTACCTAGCAGTGATATTGCTGGATCATACGATATTTCCATTTTTATTTCTTTAAAGACTCTCCAAAAAAAAAAAAAAAAGACTCTCCATATTGTTGTCCATAATGGTAGCACCAAATTTCACTCCGCCAATAGTGGATGAGTATTCTTTTTTCTCCCCCTCCTTACTAACAATTGTTGTTTGCAGTCCTTTTGATATAGGCCATTCCCGTTGCGGTTTTGATTTTTATTTCCCTTATAATAAGTGATTGAACATTTTTTCATATGCCTGTAGGTCATCTGGATATCCTCTTTGAAGAAGCATCTATTCAATCTCTTGCCCATTTTTTGACTGTGTTTGTTTTTAGTGTAGATTTAAGAAGTTTGACTTCTAAACAAAATGTGCCTTAACTTCTTAAATGAATTATGCACAAATCATCACTTCCCACTGTTTGGAGCTCTAAACACCCCAGTGATAAGTGGGTGGATAATGATACACGCCTGCTACTAATTTCGGGCTGTTCGTGATTCAAACCACATACTCCTGCCTTGTAGTAGCAAGCTGAGTGGCCCCGTGCCACTAAGCCGTGCATCTGCAGGATGGCTGTGTGGCCTCCTGGGCTGGCAGCATAGTCTACCCTTGTGCTGCTTTTTCCTGGCAGGCTGAGGAACCAAACTCCACCCCTTGACATCCTGAGCTCAGGGGATACTGGGTAGGGGGTGGAACAGGGCACTCATGGGAGCTTAAAAGTGAAACACACCAAACTTGTAGGCTAGTTAGTCCTAGTTCTCATCTGCCTGGGAACCAGAAGTGGGCTCTCACCAGAACCAAAGCAGTCAGGGCCATGCTTTTTGTGTCCCATCCTTCAGAACTGGGAGAAATACATTTGTGTTCTATATATGCCACATGGTCTGTGGTAATCTGTTATAGCAACCCAAATAAATTAGAATAACTTATGGGTTTAATTTTGCTTCATACAGGCCTTGAACAGCACAGCTTTCCTTGGTTAAAGTGAAGCTAAGCCTGTGATCGTGGTGGTTTCTAAACTAAGCTACACAATAGAAATATTTGTGGGACTTTTCTAATGACTCACCTACACAGTCTTTGCAATCCCAAACAGAGTTGTTTGACAGAACATTTATTTCACAAAACATGTTATGGATTAATAAGCTATCAAAAGTCAGGTACTGTCAGAAGTAACACTGAATTGAATTCAAAGAAATAAGAGTATGCATAGTAATTTTTGTAACCAAAAATTTTTTTGGTTTTAACATGGGATTATTTATAATATATGAAATTTGGAAAGAAACCAAAATTTTCCAGCAGTAAAAAGTTGCTTAAATAAATTATGGTAAATATATATGGCAGAATACAAGACAACAACTGTATCTCAAAGAATATTAACTGACCTGGAAAACTGTTCTTGATAAGTAAAATGACAAGTGCAACATGAACAATCATTCCCCTCTTGTTTGAAAAAAAAATTTTCTTGAGAGGTAATCCAAGAAAGCAATATCCTAAACTGGTAACAAAGAAGAGGAAAGAATCTTAACTTGCACTGCAGAAGTGTAAAACAAAGCAGAAAACAGTTTTAGTGTAAAGTCTATTGAAGAATAACTAGAAACTTGTTTCAAGCTGCTACAACTGGGTGACGTCTCCCACTCCAGCAAAACAGGCTGATGCTCTGAAGATGTTAGATGCATTAAAAGCAAGAGGATTAAATAAAAATTTAAATAGTGCCCAAGTCCTCTGCCCAGTGGTTGGAAGTCTGGCAAACATCTTTTAGAAAGGAGATTGCAAGGTTTGTCTCTGATGACCCTGAGCAGTCAAAGAGAGAAGAAAAGTTACCACTGACAAGAGGGATTCTGGGATCCCTCTGTGGTGAAACCAATAGTGACAAATCTCATCCGCATGCATAGAACTTCCAGTTGGCATTTTTCTCCCACACTTGGCAGATACAAGAATCCC